TAATAATAATAATAATAATAATAATTATTATTATTATTATTATTATTATTATTATTCACATTTTAAAAGGCCATGCTCCACAAGACTGAGGGAAATTGGAGGGGAAGACATTAAGCCTGACTTAATGGCATCTGTATCCTCTGCACACCAGTCCCATCACATGCCTTCTTTTAGATACAATTTTGATGCATCAGGGCTTTGTTCACTGGAATGCATGTCCTAGGATTAAGACTGTCTTGTTACTTAATTTGCTTTTGGGTTCAAATGAATCGTTGTCTCTTAGTGTTGTGTTTCTGTGGCTGCAAATTTAGGAATTAGAAATTAAAAAGCAGTATACAAATATAAATTATTTGCGAAGGTTGGTTCAGACAAAGCATTCATTGTACATGCACCTTATATGGAATTTTGCAAGGATCCAGGTGATTTTCCTGTGCTTTCTTATGCTTCTTCCTCTTTTTTGCTTGCCACAAAAGAGGAGGGAAAGATAACATAGCTGCACAGTAGTTTTCGGTTGGTAGCATGAGAAGCTCTCTGTGTAAAAACACCTTTACATAGGATTAAGTTCAATTCATTTAATTTAAGTAAGATTTGCTTCTGAGTATGGGCAGTACTATGATTAACTTAAATAAACTGGAAGAAGTCAAAGACAAATCACTTCTTTGTTCATAGAATCATGTAGTTAGAAGGGACCTTCATCTACCTGCTCAGTGCAGGGTTCTCCACCGCATCTCTGACAGAAGATCACCAACCTGTGATTGAAGACTTCCAGAACAGGAGAAACCACCAGTTCATATGATGTCCTGTTCTGCTGGCTGAGAGCTAATACAATTATGAAGTTCTTATGTCTGCGCCTGCCCTAATAGAGACTAAATCAATCCCCTTGTCTGTGTGATAGCGACCCTTCAGGTATTTGAAAACTTTTATATCTTCCTTCAATCATCTTTTCTGTAGGCTAAACATACTCAGATCCTTTAGCCCAGTGCTTCCCAACCTTTTTCCTTCAAACCCTAACTTTGAACGGTTGCTGAACAAATGGTCATAACTCAAGGACTACCTGTATTATGAAAACAATACCACCAAATGAACTTTATGTCATTTCAACAAATTACCATTGGTAATTTCATTGATTTTTGTCTTAATAGGAATACTTTGGGAGATTTTTGAATACATTTTAGTACATGTGGCAATCTTTAAGTCAATTTAAATGTCCCTGTTGTGATTGGGTAATGGGTTCCTGTGCCGTTACCCAAAGAAAAACCACTTTTACCCAGTTTTGGGTAATTTACCCAGGTGTGGGAAACATTGCTTTAG